GTCAATGGGATTGCCATCACTTATCACTTTGATAAGTTGTAACTTTGTGCTTACACTGGTGCCTCTTACAAAAGATGCCGGTGAAACGTTTGGGAATGAACTAAGTCAATAGTCCAATGCTGGAAACAACGAATCCTATGGCAGAGGACTCAGCACTAGGTACATTTCATAAGGTCTCTCTGACGCTCAGACCAAATTGTGAAAACAAGGTCGAAACAACACTAGTAAGTTAGAGAAGGCTGCGGCTAAACAGAAGGCCCCACCATTTTAGTCTTCATAAATACTATATATAAATACTTGTATTCCAAGAACTGCATATAAAACATTAAAAATATCAAAACTGTCTCATTTCCTGCTGTTGTATCTTTTATAATATAAATAAAAATTAAATATATGTAAACAAACCAGCTTAGCCGCCACACTATCGTCAGAATTAGGCATCTTAGAGCGAATTCCGGATGTAACGGAGCTAATATTACGTTTTATATTGTTGGCACTAGGCTGAAACGAGTCTTTCAAGGACATCTAAATAATTTAGAAAGCATTATGCATTAGGGAACAGAGGGCAAATAAAATTATGAAAGAATTTAAAAAGAAAAAATACAAGTGAATAAAACTCCTGAGCGAGAAGTCTACACTACATTTTTCGAAAACCAGTTTGTATGTATATATTACAATTGCTTGTAATGAGTCTAAAGAATGCAGGCTCAATTACATAATACCTAAAGAGCTAAAAGCATCTAAGCACTGCGGCAAAGAATCTATAAAACAAGTATATTAGTTGGCTCAAATATTAAGTTTACTGTAGTACTTATGATTTAAAACATGTGCATTCTGGAGTTAGACAATTTTCAGCAGCTATAGAAAGGAAAGATAATCTTTGCTGAAATTCAAAATAAGGAGATATAACTTCCTTCGAAACGAAAGCATAACATAGCCGCCAAAATAATTATGTTAAATTAATAACTAAATAAATATAATTTTCATAAATGAGACATATTTAATGAAGCTCGGGTCCATTCATCCATTATCTAAATTTATGCCAATGATAAAATACATTTTTATAGCCACTTAACTAATAATCATTAAAAAAACCTTTATATAATGGATAACATACGAGTATAGGATCAGCATCTTTTCCTTCAAACCATTCTTCAGCCGTCATGGCTGGGGTGGTACTAACAGCATCCGGATATAAGTCATCCTGAAATAGGCCGGATCGTCGAGGTACGATAAACGGGATCACTTCGACCCAGTTTTCATTGTGCAGTTTATAGAATCGTGCAATCTCGTTAGAATTCAAATTCAAACCGCGTTTCGGCATGAAACCGATGCCCCTTTGTGGGCTTGAGCTATCCAATCGACTGAGGTAGTAGACATTCCCTTCATCGATGTTGTATTCAAAAAAGCGAATAGAACTGTCTCCCTGTAAAAGAATAGGGAATGACAAAGTATGCAATGGGTTCGAGTTAGAAGAAGCTTGATAAAACTCAAAGAAAAATATGGTGCAAAAGTAACTTAAAAGAGAGACAACCATATATGCAGATGTTTAGGTTAATAGAATTTATTTTAAAGTGCAAACAACGCTAGCAATTTTTTCAAGAGCGGGGAAATTATCATGAGAAAATGTAGTGATTCGACACCAACAGTCTGCTTAGAGTAGAGTTGTGCAATTATCTTTAACTATATGCAAATGAGTCAATATCTCTCGAACGCAACTGATTGAAAAACAG